CAAACTATCTGACCTGTTCTATTCACAGCATTGTTAAAACCAATGCTTATGGCTTATAGAAGTACATATTTTAACGATGTTCATGGATATTTTTCTCTTCTTTTACATCGCATTGAATACTCTCCGTATGGTGTTTAAAACACGTATCCCGTTAAAAGATAATTTTCTGTTACTTGATTGTATTATTATTTTATTAAATAAAGTATATATATTCCCAATAAGCACGCATGTGTACGTATACAGTGTCAAAAAATTAAATCAACTATTTAGTCTTAAATTTATATTTCATACACTAGTCAATCTGAAAGAAACTGAAATAGTTCGCCCAACGCAAGCAATTGAGGATTCTGATGAAATAGAGGATGCATTTCTGTCGGTGAAAGAATTGCAAGTAGTCGTTTCAGGATCCAGTGTTATCAACATTTACATCCCACCACCAAAAACTCCTGCAAAGAATGCAGTTTAAAATTGATCAAGTTTCTGAACAAGAAATACCCCTTGATTTTTTTTTTTCGAAGAGTTGTATTTTATCCAAAGAAGGATATATTGCATTTATATACTGCTTATTTCTAGAAGAAGGACTTGTCGTAATTTTCTTTTTATGAAAATCCTAATGAATGGATGATGTGCACATTTTTTGTATAGACTGAACCTTGCAGTTGGTAAAATAAGTTGACGCTTAAAAAATACATTTTATGTATTATTTTATACTATTTTATGCACACTGACTATGATGAAAATTAACGAAATTCCAACATGCAAAGTGATTGAGACAAAATTGATGATCACTACTGTCAGAACTTTTTATTTTTTGATTGCAAGTTATTATTCCATTTCCTAATATTAACTGTGACACTTGGAATCTCAATTTTTTTGTTGTTTATTTTTAAAGAATTTTGAAGGGGAAAGTGGAACTTTAAAAGTCAACTTGTAAATTCAAGTGGAATGAAAATTTAATTTGCAAAATTTAATATCAGAGTTTAGTTCTAAAAGTAAAATGAGTGAATATTAAACTATATTTATCAGTTTCATAAGGTTCACTATGATCATGTCATAGGAGGTGTGTGAGGTGAAATTTACATATTTATGTTCAAATGAAAACACGAGAACTATTTAGAGTTTTCAGTTTGTAGTCCATTTAAAATCTTTTGAGTTTGTTTACATAGGAGATGGCATGTTAACCACATTATAGATGCAGTTATTACATTTTTTTTAAAACTGTTTTTTCTTTGTCTCTTTAAAGCATCTTTTGTAATGCTTGAAATCGTCCTTCATATGAACCTTTGTTTCCTGAGGATAAGTATTGTACTTGCTCTATAGTTGTTAATAAACTTAATAGCTTGCTCTCCAACAATCATTAATTTATTCTTTCAGCTAAAGTAAACCATCAAATTGCAAAATGAAAGTTTGCATAATTTGCAAAAATCTTCTGACTATCACATAAAAGTGTCTGGTCCGAGGGTCAAGAAACAGTCTAAGACCAAGTCAAATTTTTAATCGCCTATAAAAATACTGAATCTCTAATTTTGCAGATAACTATTAACACCTTAATTTGTAAATCAACATTAAAAAATATTTTTTAATTATTATCTACTTGACTTGATCAATATTTAGACTTGCTCTTAAGAATTTTCATGATCCTGGGAACTGGTCATAACTTGATACCAAATTATCTCGACCTTGTCAGCTGTAAATCTTGGGAGATATTTTGCACATTTAAAATTGGTCACTTTCTTCAAGGAAGATGCTAGGAACTGGGATTGTAAAAAGGCCCTCTGTTGATCAAATTATCTGTCACTCAACCATTTCTTTTAAATTTTTTGGCAGAGAGAGCATATGGCAAAATAAAATTGAATTTGGAACATAAATTTATCATAAGAATAGTCACATTCTGGTTTGGGTACGATCGAGTGAATTTGAACAAGTTATGTCCCTTGGACTTGAGAAATTCCAACTAGAAGCACTGTTCCGTTCATTTTCTTTGCAGATGTCGCACATATTGAAATGAAATTCAGTATATAGATTTATCATAAAAATATACAGGTTAATATTTGTTTTTGGTCAATCCAGCCATGTTTGACAGTATGTACTTTGAACGTGGATAAAATTGCAATTGTGTTTTACAGACATCCTTTCTTTTGGTTGTAAAATAAAAAGGTCAATGTTACGTGGGTCCTAAAGTCTAAGATAACACGGGTCTTGGGTCAAGACCTTAGATTGATTGATTGTATGTTGTTTAACGTCCCTCTCGAGAATTTTTCACTCATATGGAGACGCCTTCAAGACCTTAGAAGCAGGACCTTAGAAGCAGGGTGGTAGATCTAGCTGTGAACGGTTACATCTTGATAGAAATATATTGGTGAAGACATGCTTGGAGCAGAAAAGAAATGCTTGAATTGAAAATAAATATATGTAAAGTATATTTCAAGATTTGACAGATGACTCGATCTCCATTTCATAAAAGTTGTACGGCAATGTTCTACCCGGTATTTAATGAAGCCATCATTGATTTGGTATTTGTCATCAAATAATTATGTTACATATAGTAACTAGGATACCTCTCTGTTTATGTGAAAATCATGGTAAATGCAACTTTAGAACATATAAATGTTTCTGTCAAACATGGAAACCCTTTTATTATTCACACAATATATCCCACAGTTTTTGTGACAGGTTTTTGACAAATGAGATTATAATGGTTCTCTTGTAATCACACACAAAAAAAACCCTGAGGACATGATGGATTTTGCCAATGCCTAAATGCTGGATAACTGGGTAATTTACCCATCTTCCTCTTTTTGCTTTTTCATAGCCACGATGCTCAGGTGAGCGATGTGGCCCATGGGCCTCTTGTTTTCAGTAAACAGTTGGGGAAGGGGCAATCAGCTTTTCAATTAACATTTTCAAAAGTAAAAGCGATATCAGGAAAAGATGCCCCCCCCCCTCGGGTAAATACGTGTTTGAATACTAAAAAAATTATTGAAACAAGAATAAAAAAAAAATTTTTAGCAAGGAAATGTATTAAATTAATTAATTTGAACCAAAAAAAAAGATACATCGAATTACACATGTAACTACACGTGATTATAGTAAAATTATTTATCTGTTACATAAACAATAGTCACATGTTTCAAAACAAAACAATGAATGCGACACAAAACAGAAGACAGTATAATTTAAGGACAGATATTCAAGATATTATTGGACATGTGAAGGAATGGTCTTTCCTAATACGACAATTGTTTAGGACGCCATGCTTAATGCATTGGCAGAGGATTTTAATATGCACATTCACTTAAAGTTAATGGCTTGAATCGACTTGTATTCTACGAGTGGATGGAGATGATAGGATTGGCCAGAGATAATGCTCCGTGGCGTCACACACGCGGCATTTTTCAGTCCCTGTTCAGGTAGGGTTTACCAATTCCTCTTATCTCTGTTCATTCCAATTGTGAAAAAATACGTGAATTTTAAAAGCTCATAAATTACAGTTTATTGAAAAGTGGAAGAAATTATGCGTTGTATTCTTGGAATGTATCAACTAGTAGATACGAGTATGCCGATTGACGTGTTCGAATTTATGTACCTCGTGGTCCAAGTAATTAAAATTCTGAAAAATCGTATTCTATTTTGTCATTATTTCAACAACTTTCAGTCACCTTAGGTCCTCCACAGAGTCGACTGTTAGTGCAGGGGCGTTTTTTTTTTGGCAAAAGTCAGCATTTTTTTAAGGTTGTGATTAGTGCCCTTACTTCTTCAGCTTTTCGTGTTTTTGTAGTGATAGGCGGATTCAACTTTAAGGTCAGACGAGACGTTCCTCAAAATCTGTTTTGTATATCTTAGTAATGAATGAAAAATATTCAAAATTTTAATAACATTCTGATTTCTAAATCAGTTTCTAAACGTTTTTAAAAAATCCAAACACTTTAACATTTGAAATTGGAAAATTATTTTTCTTCCCCAAAGGATTATATAAGAAAAACTACCCCAGATATCTTGCAGAAATGCCTGGTAAGGTATCTCAATTTTTTGTGAGTAAACATGTTTAAGTAGCTAAACTACAATGACAAACTCTTAGAAAAATTTATCTATTATTAAGGAACGTCTCGTCTGTCCTTAATTGGTTCTCCAAGTTGTTTTTGATTTTTTTCCCCAAATGATGCGATTGGTATACGTTTTTTTGCAAACATAAGTATTTTATTACGGCATAAATAGCGCGTCCGTTGCTGGTGTACTTAGTCTTTATTACTGTTACTATTGAGAAATCACGAGTGGGCGATACGTCGGAGTGGAGGAGCTTACAGAGAGAGAGAGAGAGTAAGGGACGAGATTTTGTCATTATTGATAACGAATTTGAACATTTCCCAGCTGTTTGCCCAGCCTGATCATGATGTCCTTGAGTGGTGCTGGAGGAATGGGTTGTTAACTAGTATTACAGTGTCCCGTTGTCGGTTGCAGGGGGATTGACCATTTGTGACCTGCCACGTGGACATGATGAAGTCGTTCTACGTTGCAGGGGCCACGCTCGTTCATCCCTGACGAATTCGTTCTTCAAGAAGGACAGCCTGCCGATTCAAGACATATGATAAAACCAAGTAAAGTCAAGAAGGGTGATTCTGCAGAGAGAAGACCAGGAGTCCCTTGAGCAGAGTGATGGGGCAGAAGAAGAAGATGAATGGACTGTTGTAGATGAGTGCTGGAGTGGTGAGGAAGAGGAGGAAAAGGAGTATGAAGTTCTTGTTATCCAAGAGGGGTACTCGGCAGAAGATGAGGAGCAGGACAAGGTCAGGACCAGGGGGACAGTAACAGTATTAAAGGGTCCAATGACCATAGTGGTGAACACTGGCCACCCAAAAGACAGGGAGGCCATCCTGGAGGGCCTGGAGAGGAATAGCGTATCGGTAGGTGATGTCTAGTGCTGTATCTGCACCGGCTGCAATGTGGACTTCGTGAGAAACCTTAATCTCTTCCCGGATACAGTCTACATTGCATCCGTTGACATGTGCCTGGGCGATTTACACCACAGACGCCTCACTTCTGGCCGACCATTTCCCATTGACAAGCGTGTAGAGGTCATCTCCACGCCAGGGTCATCATGTACAGACATATCTGTCTTGGTGAAGGACACATACCTTGGGACAGTAGCAGTTGTCGGCGACCAGTTTAGATGCCGGGAGGACCTAAAAGATCCCACACTTTGGAGAAGTGACAGTACCAATCCAGAGCGGCAGGAGGTCAGCAGGGCCAAGATTCTGGAGATTGCTGACTATATTGTTCCTGGTCGAGGACCAATGTTTAAAGTCCCTGTATAACTCTACATATAATTTAATTGTAATTTTTCTTACTTTGCTAGGTATGCAGGGTAATTAAGTACAGTCATTTGGGGTATTCCGAATCACTGCGGGTTTCGCAACCCTCGGGACTTTACCTTATCGCTGTACTTTATACCACATCTTCACACGTGTGACAACAACGCAGTCAGCATCAACAAGGTACATATAATTAATTCCAAGAAATAAAATCATAAATACCATGCATTAATTAATTAATCAACAACTTAATTAATGAACTCGCTACATTCTTGTCGAAGAAATACCCTTGCAGAAAACGCAGTTTGACATTTCCCAGCGCTGTAGTAGCGGTGTTTTTGGTTGATATATGTCATATTTAGTACTAAAAGAACGGCAATTTTATAAGCTTTTAAGAGCATTAAATATTTTTGAAAACACTTCAAAGTTACAAAAGTTATAACCACATTTGCAACTCCGTACAGTTTAAGGTATTTCGAATCACGCAAGTATACATAAACGTGCACTCAAAATTCCTCATCACACACAAACACAGGCTGATGCACCCTAGTTTGTAGTTTCATATGCCAAGGGAATAAAGTGAATAATATCTATTATAGACTAATCTGGGTTTATATGGACCTTTTATTTAAAAACAGTATTTCATTTACATATATCAAAGACACCTACTGTATATACGTACACTATACACACATGCACTGTATGACATGGGTGCACTTTATGCAGAATTTGATCTAGGGGCGAGATGATGGTTTGTCTTGAACTATTTTTAAAAAAAATGTTTTGATGTGGAAATGGGGGGGGGGAGGGCTTGTTAAAAAATTTAATGAGTATAACCACCCTTAGCCAACCCCATTCACTGTTGTTGCAAATTAAACAGTATGTAAATATATTTGATGATTGTTTTGATATAGAAATGGGAAGAACTAAGAAACGCAAAGAAATCTGGACCCCATCTAAAAGTCCGGCACAAAGACTCGCAGCCAAAGTTTCCAGGAAATATAAATCGCCACACAAGACTGTTAGGAAAGCTTTATATCAGGTGAATCAAAATAAGTTGTCAATTAGAAGAGCAGCATTAGAAAACAATCTCTCTTTTTCTTTTCTCCAAAGAAGAACATCAGGAAAAGTAGATGTTGACAGTAAAAGAGGTCCAAAGCCTGTGTTTAAGAAAGCCGAGGAGGAAGCATTTGCAAATTATTTGTCTGAAATGGCACAGAGAGGAATGGGGTTACGTCCAACAGAGTTTCTAGACTTCGTTGAAAATATCATGAAAAAGGACAAAAGGGAAAATCCATTTAAAGACGACAGGCCTAGTTGGGATTGGTATTATGGATTTTTAAGGCGAAACAGTCACATAATTCAAAAAAGAACTGAAACACCTCTGGAAATCTCTAGAGCCAAGGTGACTGTGAAAGAGATTGATGAGTGGTTTGATAAATATAAAATATTTATGTCTGACAATCATCTCCTGGACAAACCTGAGAGAGTATATAATGCAGATGAAACTGGATTTACAATGGGATCCAAATCTGGTCAGGTGATAGGTCCAGCCAAAAAGGTAAATGCAGCTCCAGTTCCACATGTATCAGGGGGGAGGAGCAAAGAGAGAGTTACTGTGATGTACTGTGCAAATGCTGAGGGTACAATAATTCCTCCATTTTTTGTGTTTTCTAAGCCTAAACCAGCTTCCTATGACTTACTGGCTGGTTCACACAGACAAGCTCATGCAGAATTTACAGAGAAGGGTTGGATGGATGCAGAAACTTTCAGAAAATTTATAAAGCATCTTCATAATCATGCCGTGAAAGAGAGACCAATTGTTTTACTGATTGATAGCGTAGGGAGTCATGTTGACATGGAATCCTTTTCTATGGCCAAAGATCTTGGGATAGAGATCTACAGATTAGTGAGAAATGCAACTCACTTGATGCAGCCATTAGATGTTGGAGTTTATGGGCCCTTGAAAAAGAGCTGGTACAAACACCTAAGAGCCCATACCAAACAACATCCTGAAGATATGGTACGCAAACAAACCTTTGCCAGACACTTGCAAGTGGCATTTCTAGATTTCTACAAACCATTGACAGTGCAAAAAAGTTTTGCTTCTTCTGGAGTGTTTCCAATAGACAGATCTAAGATTTCAGACTGTAGACTTAAGCCTGCCCTTACATATGAAGAAAAATTAGATGAAACTTCATCATCTTCCATTGGAATTCCTCCGATTCCTTATGAAGCACAATCCACATCATCATCCATTCCATCTACATCTAGCACAGAACCAGCCATTCTGAATGCTGAAGTAAATTCAGGCTTGGATATCCTTGCCCAAGCAGTTTGTGCACTGGGTAGTGATGATTCGGTAGAAAATACTGGTTTGCCTGTACATGTATCAATTCCGGATGAAATCTCCCTACATATCAAAGACGCAGTTAAAATACCAACTGTAAAATAGAAGAAAACAAACAGAAAAAGACTTGCAGATGAATTACCAGACAATTTGACATCAACAGACTCTATCAGGAAGATGGGCTTAAAGTCATTGGAAAAAACCAAAAAATTTGCATTGAGAGAGAGGAAAGCTAAGGAGAAATTTCTCAAATCCAAAGAGAAAGCTAAAAACATTCACACCCTGCCATCCAAAAGGAAAGTGAATAAACCATCAAAGGGTTCTTCAAAGTCAAATAAGAGGGTGCTGAAATCTTCCTCTACTGCAAACCCAATCCTGTCATCTGCTTCAACATCTTCCTTGGCATCTGACGTATGTTTTGTATGCCATGCTGATGAGTCTGTACCAGGACTCTGGATACAGTGTGAGAAATGTCAGCGTTGGGAACACATTGCATGCATTCCAGATGACCATCAATGGAATAGAGATGCAATATCTCAGGAATCTGTCATATTCATATGTCAAATTTGCGCAAATGTCATGAATTAAACATGGTAATTAAAGTTTAAATGATTATGATGACAAAATATACTTGTTTTGTAAGGAGCTTTGTATACTAAATTATAATAACTATAACTTAACTATCATTATTATATTCTGTCTCTCTCCCTTGCTCTTGCTCTCTCTCTTTTTCTCTCTCTCTCTCTCTCTATATATGTATATTCCCTGTCCGTGAGTTAACTTTCTTGCATGTTTGAAAGTGACACTTTAATTTTTTTTTATTTTTAGAGTCAAGGACAAGTATCAGAGCAGCCAAAGAGGGAAATTTTGTTAAGACATTGCGTGATTAAAGGATATCATGACTTTAAAATAAAGCCATTACAGTCCAATCAAGTACCGCTTAGAGTTGATAGGGAATATACGAATATTCAGGATCCTGATGCTTGTTTGGTATGGATTCCAGATAATGTTCCTGCTGATCTCAAAGAAACAGTTACAGATGAAAAGAGGGGCCTAAAACTGAAAGATATAGAGGGTCTACCCTGTGGACATGTCCCTAGAGGTTTGGCCAGTGCATTTAGATATGTAATGGATGCTGGGGGCGAAATTTCTGCAATAGTTACTGGATTTCCTACACCAAGTTTCCCACCTTGGCCTCCTATGCTCGAGAAAGGAGGAGGTGTAGTGATTCCATGTACATACCGAGTATGTCCAACTAATTTTCATATTGCTTTAACAGTCATCCAGGAGCATCTTGAAGTCATGCCAGAAAAGGAAGTTATTGAACTTATTGAGGTGCCCACATCCTAAAAAAATCTTTTGGGAATGGTGTTCATAATTGATTTTCGGTATGTCTTCTTGAGTTAAATTGTGAATTTTCTCGCATTTATTCAAAACACAGTTTCAGTTGTTTTATATGTAAGATTAAACCTGTTTTACAAGAGTTTGGTTTGCTAAATATTTGCATTTATAAAAATTCTTGTACATAATCTGCAAAATGTACTGATTTTGAAGGAAGTCTGGTTTGTTTTCCATATTTTATTTATTTTATCCATTTTTGTGCTTGTTTTTTATTGAATATGTGTACTGTATGAATGATACCTACATGTACATAACTTGTACAATACATTCACCTCAGAGAGAGAGTGAGAGAGAGAGAGAGAGAGAGAGAGAGAGAGAGAGAGAGAGTATATAAGATATTTTTTTCTTTTCAAATTTATATTTTTTAATATTTTTTATTTTCATGTTTTACAACACTCAGAGAAGTGAATTTTATTGTTAAAATACTCAGATAAGTCTTTTTTTATTGTTAGAACTTACTCGAAGAAGTATATTGTTTATTGTTATTGTTTTACATTTTAATAAAACCTATCAGTGATTAGTATTAAATATTTTTTTTATGTTTAGAGATATGCATATTTGGGAGGTGGGGTGGGGGTGGTGTCACGAATCAAATGCCTCCCCTGTACGATCCACCCATGTGTTTCTATAGAGTGATTTTAGAGAGAAGTTCTCAACTTTAAAAATAAACACCAACATGCACACGGAAAATAATTCTTATATTAAAAGGTCGTTGGATTATGTTACTAACAAATTTATGTATTAAAATGTTGTTATCTGACCGTTTTTGATCTGTATACTAAGTGATTCGAAATACCCGGAAGTGACTCGCAATACACTAAAAAGGTGGTCTAAATATAGCTGCCCTCAAGGTCGCTGTATCGAAGATGAGCTCGCTTTGTAAAGTAGATTTGTTTACTTATAAATCCACCTTTCCATTAATACCAAACAACCGGTTGTAAGCCTGTTAATGAAATCGTTTGCAGCAAAAATGTAAAAGATGATTCGAAATACCCTAAATGACTGTACTTAATCTATGAACATTATGATAGATTTTTTTTTCTTTTCTATCACTTGCTTCATTACATACATACGATTAGTGATTTGTACATGTTTTCATTCGTTACATGTATAGTTTAACATGCATCATACAGTTATATTTGTTTTGATGTAGTGCATGAGTGAGTGACGTACGGAGAGATTCGAAAGTGTTTTCTATCACCGGTTGTAATTTTTTTTCTTTTCTCTCTCATTAGCCAAAAAGAGTATTACA